AAAAAGATTCTTTCTGCAAATGTGTATTGAGCACCAATGCTAGCATGGCCTTGTAGTCGAGACTGACTCTGAAGTTAGAAGGCCTGTATTTGAGTTTGGTTCCAGTATTTGGGTGCTCGGGCAAACTATTTAAGCTCTCCTAGTTTCCTCATGTCTAAAATGGGAATGAAAGTTGTATCAGGGACAGCCATCAAGATGAAGTGAGGCTGAGGCCGGGACTAAGAGTAGGTAATACACGATCCCTCAGACTCCCGGAGATCCCCTGCTTATTCACTTTGGGACAAGCTTCACTGAACCACTGAGCCTCGATTTCATCTGTAGAATGGATCTAATAAACCCTGCCTCCTGGGATAACTTTGAGAAGTACATAGCACAGAGGAGATGCTCTAAGTGCCTGACATTCTTTCGGTTGACTGGCTCGAAGAATGAAGGACGCAGGCCAGGTGCCTGCTGACTGGCTGGGGACCAGGTCATGGGGGTTAGGGTCCGGGGGAAGAGATGAGTTGAAATGCTTCATAGAAGAGGTTTGAGCTGAGACCCAGAGAGGCACTGGTGGCTGGGCTGAGAAGAGCGATTCAGAGGTGGGTGTGGATCTCCGTGGGGCCTGGCTTAGGGTATTGGGAAGGGAGCATGGCCTCAGGTTGGGAGAGAGTTGATTAGCGTGCAGGGTTGGGTGGGCAGGCAGCTGGCTGGGAGGGGCTGGGCCTGCTCCAATTGCTCTGAGCCCTTCTGCATCCTCCTTTTTCTCATGCAGGTTCATCTATGAACTCGAGCACTTCAATGGCGTGGCTGAGCTGCTGGAGATCTTAGGAAGGTGACTCTCCCTGGGCCTCAGCCAGAGCATCAGTTTGGGGAAGAAGGATTGAGGCCGGTCACCTGAGCCCTCCTCCTCTCTTCTGTCCCCCTCCTCAGCATCATCAATGGCTTTGCGCTGCCCCTGAAGACTGAGCACAAACAGTTCCTGGTTCGGGTCCTGATTCCCCTGCATTCCGTGAAGTCGCTGTCAGTCTTTCACGCCCAGGTGAGGCCCAGACCTGGCCCTGCACAGCAGAGAGCGGACAGAGTCAGGGCAGCCATGTGGGTCAGCCTGCCCCTCTGGCTTCAGCCACACGAAGTCACCTTCTTTTTCTTTACTGATTCTGTACCGTCTACCTTAGAGAAGCCCCATGACCCTTTAAGAGTCTCAGACATCAGCTCTGTGAAGCGCTCCCAGCCCCTTTCTCTCCACCTGCCCTAGGCAGGATGAAACTCCTGTATTCGCATAGATTGTGATACAGATTTCTATCATGGAAACGCCTGTAAAATGTATAAGGACTGGTTTGCTGAGTGTTACCCCTGTGAGATGATCATTGTGTCCCCGCACACTGAGCATGGTGCCTGGTGCATCCTAGGTAAATGCTTGGTGAATGAGAGTCGACTCAGTAAGTGACCTGGGTCCTACCCTAGTCCCCCCCTGACCCGTCCTCTCTCTCCGCCCCACAGCTGGCATACTGCGTGGTGCAGTTCCTGGAAAAGGACGCCACCTTGACAGAGCATGTGAGTACCTCTGGGGGAGAAGGCAGGTCTCCGTCCCTGCAGGTCTGACTCCTTTCTGCCCCAACTCCCACAGGTGATCCGGGGACTGCTCAAATACTGGCCAAAAACCTGCACCCAGAAGGAGGTAGGAAGGGGGCTTTGAGGACCACCAGAGGGAGGTTAGGAAAGCTTAGCTCCGGAGGGCGGTCAGGTGTGTGTCAGGGGAGATGGAACTGCTGCCCCGTGTCCCGACCCCCCAGGTGATGTTTCTGGGGGAGATGGAAGAGATTCTTGATGTCATCGAGCCCTCCCAGTTTGTGAAGATCCAGGAACCCCTCTTCAAGCAGGTGGCTCGCTGTGTGTCCAGCCCCCATTTCCAGGTATGGGGTGGGAATGGGGAATGGACTAGGAAGGTTGACCAGTTGACCTAACAGCTCCCTCGGCCCTCTGGACTGTCCTGGGTCTGATAATGCGGAGATGCTGGACTTGGGGTCGAGCCCTTGGGTCAAGCTTCAGATCTGCCTCCCACTGGCTGAGGGGCCTTGGGCAGATCACTTCACTCTGAGCGTGATTAAGCGTCTCATCTGTAATGTGGCCAATAGGGACTTTAGAGAGAGTAGGGTAAACATATTTGGTAACTGAAATGTGCTCCCCATGGGTTATCCCTTCTCTCCTTTTCTTTCTTTTTTTTAAAAAAATATTTTTTTATTGACTTCAGAGAAGGGAGAGGGAGAGGGAAAGATCGAAATACCAATGATGAGAGAACCATTGATTGGCTGCCTTCTGCGTGCCTCCCACTGGGGACCGAGCCCACAACCTGGGCCTGTGCCCCTGACCAGAATTGAACCCAGGACACTTCAGTCTGCAGGCCGACACTATCCACTGAGCCAAACCAGCTAGGGCAGTGGTCGGCAAACTCATTAGTCAACAGAGCCAAATATCAACAGTACAACGATTGAAATTTCTTTTGAGAGCCAAGTTTTTTAAACTTAAACTATATAGGTAGGTACATTGTTATTAACTTAATTAGGGTACTCCTAAGGCTTAGGAAGAGCCACACTCAAGGGGCCAAAGAGCCGCATGTGGCTCGCGAGCCGCAGTTTGCCAACCACGGAGCTAGGGCATCTCTCCTTTTCTTAGTGGCCTTCAATTTAATCAGTCCCACTTCAGGGTCCAGCTGGGCCCCCCCGCATCATGAGGCTGGCTATAACTAGTGTTCTACATGTGTGACAGACTTGCTCCCATTCTTATGAGCCGTAACCTGGTGGAAGTCAGTTCTTCCTCACAGTGATTCTGGCACCTCATTCAACAGCCCTGGGGAGATAGCTATTATTTATTAGCCCCATTTTACAGATGAGAAAACTGAAGCTGCGAGGTTAATGCCTTGCCCAGGTCATGTGGCCCATGTGCAGTGGAGCTAGGATTCAACCCTGAGTGTTGGACTCCCAAGTCCAGTTTCTTTCCTCCTTGTCACATTGCTTCCTCCAGTGGGAGAGATGAGTCCCGAGGATGGGGGGTGAGGGCAGGGCGCCCTGGGTTTTGGGGTGGATACCAGCCCTTGCACGTGCAGGGAAGCCTCTGCCAGGCACTCCCTCTGCCATCTCCCTGCCCCAGGTTGCAGAGCGGGCTCTGTATTTCTGGAACAACGAGTATATCCTGAGCCTCATTGAGGACAACTGCCACACTGTGCTGCCTGCTGTGTTTGGGACCCTCTACCAAGTCTCCAAGGAGCACTGGAATCAGTGAGTGCCCAGGCCCAGGGCCAGGGCCAGCCAGTCCAGACCCGGGGTTACTCCTAGCTAGAGAGAATGAGGGAAGGGTCTCAAGAGGGCTGAGGGGTGGCGAAAGGGGCAGGCGGAGGGCAGCGGGCAGCACCTATGGGGTTTAGGCTGCACGCTGTGTTTGGGGAACAGGGTTAGGCAGAGCACTGTGGAGGGAGGTGGGGCCAAACTGAAGTTGCTCTCATCTCACCCCCTCCCTTGACCTGCCAAGAACCATCGTATCTCTGATCTACAATGTGCTCAAGACCTTCATGGAGATGAATGGGAAGCTGTTTGATGAGCTCACAGCCTCCTACAAGCTGGAAAAACAACAGTGAGTGTTGGGGGGCTGGGCATGGAGGGTGGGGGGAAAGCAGGAAGGAACCAGCTCCTCACGGTTGGAGGGAGCCTAAGAGGATGACCCCACGTCCGATCTATTCAGATATTTAAAGTCTCTCCCTATGTTCCTGGCAAGTGCTGCCCCTCCCTCTACCCTGTCGTCATCCTCCCAAGGGCTTCCCCAGGTGCGGAGCTTGGACGCCCTGGAGTTTCCTCCTCTCTAGCCGGGTCTCTCGAGCCAGGCCAAGCCACCTGGTCGTGACCAGCCTCCTCAGTGGTCTCTTCCCGGAGTGGAAGGCTCCCCTAGATCCTTCGCAGATGAGGTGGTGGTGAGGGGAAGCTGGGCTGCAGGCAGGGCCTCAGGTGGGGGAGCTGCCTAACCCTCTCTCCCCAGGGAGCAGCAGAAGGCCCAGGAGCGGCAGGAGCTGTGGCAAGGCCTGGAGGAGCTACGGCTACGCCGGTTACAGGGGACCCAGGGGACAAAAGAGGCCCCCCTCCAGCGCCTTACACCCCAGGTGGCCGCCAGTGGGGGTCAGAGCTAGAGATCCCGTAGAAAGGGAGGAACTTAAACCCAGAGCTATCAGTCCCTCTATGCCCTCTCCTGCCCAGGGGCCCAGAGAGACACACACCTCCCCCTGGCCTTGCAGAGAGGGTTGGAGGGCTCCCTGCCTGGCCCAGCGTGGGCCCTTTACTGTGGGGAGGAGAGGAGAGGAGATGGTGGTCCTGGCAACAGAACTCTCAGGCCCTTGTGGCAGGACTTGACCAGGGCAAGCTTGACCAGGAAGCTGCCATCAGGGATCTCCCTGCCCCAAAAAGCTGGGCTCCAGACTGCAGGCAGGTTCCCACACCCTGCTCCCAGCCTAGGGCAACAGGACTCGGCTCCTCGTGTACCCCACCTCGTGCCAGCGCGAGGTCTTCCTGCACCCCACCATGGATCCATGGTCTATTTATTCTCCCCTGCTCACCCCCAACAGATGCTGACCTGGGCCTGGGCATCCTCCTCCCCTCCCCTACCTCCCTCTGTACTTTCTTGTCCCCTTTTTATTTATTGGGCAGGGGGAGGGGTGAGGGCACAGGCAGAAGAGATTCCCCATGTCCTGGGGCAAGGTGGGGTCACAGTTACCATGGTCTGTCCCTCTTCCCCTGGCTGGGGGTAGACTTAATAAAGACAGAAACTCGAGGACTGCTTGCTTTATTAAGGGATGGGGCCAAAGAGGGAAGTGAAATGATGAAACACTGGTCAGGAGGTGGCAGAGGCAGGGAAGAGGCAGAGACTCCCCTCTTTTCAGGGGGTTGAAGCCGCTGTCCTCAGTGACGCTCAGGATATACGGGATGTACTCCACCTCGCCCCTCTGACCAAGGGGAGGGAGGTGGGGACAGGGTGGGCTAGTAGCGTGAGAGGCGACACATGTCACACTGGCAGGCTCTGGCCGTGAAGATCTCCAGCTCCTCCCTCCGGCCCCCCCCACACTGCAGCTGCACCTTCACCTGTGGGAGAGGGGATTCGGTTCCAGTCCCCTTCCTTGAGCCATTTTAGACCCCCGTCTCCTCTGTCTCTCCCAATGGGCCCCTCACCTTCCTCAGGCCAGTGATGGTGCAGCATTGAGAGATGGAGGTGACGTTGTGTCGGTAGCCACTGGCCACCAGCACTGAGTACCGGGAAGGGAAGGCGCTGGACTCGCAGTGGCCCACGCAAGCCTGTGCCACATGGGAGCCCTGGCAGGTGCCTTGGCGGTCGCTGCGCACCGTCACATTGAAGGCTAGAAGGAGACAGGCGAGTTGTAGACGGTGCCTCTGCGAAGGCTCGCCCAGCTCCCACTGTTTCCTCCGTGGGTCCATCGAGGGTGCTGCCTGCCCCTCTGTCCAGCCCATCGGCTCTTTGCTCCCACCCAGCCTCTGCTCCCAGGGTGACTCACGGTGCAGGTGGCAGCCCGGGATGGCCGCCTGCTGACCCCGGCCTTCAGTGACCACCAGGAACAGCAGGCAGAAGAGCAGGGTTTGGGGGGACGCCATGGGCATCTGAAACAGTGGGTGGACATTCTCTAGATCGTGTGCAGGGGGAGGGGAAGTTCTTTAAATGCAGCGTGCTTCCAGGTGAATGAGCCGGGGCTCTGTTAGCCTGACTGGGGTGCAGCAAGCCTGTGGGGCTGACTTTTCCCTGTCCCTGCCTTCGGGTGAGTCTGCCTGTGAGTCTCTCTGGATGGGAATCAGTATGAGCAGCAGTCTCTCTCTAGATGTGACTTGTCAGCCCACTGCGGTGGTTTCCCCCCGCCTTTCTCCCACCATCTGGAGCACGAACATCTGCCTCCCACCATCTGCCCCATCTTGGCCTCTAGGACCCCATCTGCAGTCCCCAGGTCCCTCAGGGCTCCTGCCTCAGGGGCTTACCACTTCCAAGGCCCAGGAACTGAGTGGCTTCTTGAGCTGCCTGCTGCTGGTCTTCAGACTTGCTGGTTCTCTGGATTTTTATTTGCCGGCATTAGGGAACCACGCCTTCTTGGAGATCGGCTTTCAGGCCCGCTGCCCAGCCTCAGGCCTCAGCCCTCAGCGATCCCACCTGGGAGATCCAGCTCTTGTCTGAGGTGTGGTTGGGGGGAGTGGCATCTGCTGCTTTCTGCTCCCTTCTGCCCAAAAGCTGCCCAAGGCCCAGGGCTGGGGAAGTGAGGTGTGGAGAGAAGCCCAGGAGCTAGCTGGTGGAGCGGGCGGCTGTGCAGCTGGAGAGAGGGCCCAAGACGGGGCTGAGTTGTTGCCACCTGGGTTCTCTTTGCTGTGTGGCCTTGGGCAGAACACTCACATTGAGGGCCTCACCACCCCAACCTTAAAACTACTAATGCCTGGCCAGCATGGCGCAATGGTTGAGTGGCGACCTATGAACCAAGAAGTCACTGGTTCAATTCCCGGTTAGGGCACAGGCCCAGGTTGTGGACTGGATCCCCAGTAGGGGGTGTACAAGAGATAACCGATCGATGATGTTTCTCAATGAAGTTTCTATTTCTCTATTCCTCTCCCTAAATATAAAAACATATTTTTAAAAAACCCTACTACTAGCCAGTTTGGCTCAGAGGATAGAGCATCGGCCTGTGGACTGGAAGGTTCCGGGTTTGATTCGGGTCAAGGGCACATGCCTGGGTTGTGGGCTCAATCCCCAGTAGGGGGAGTGCAGGACGCAGCTGATCAATGATACTCTCTCATCATTTATGTTTCTATCTCTCCCCCTCTCCCTTCCTCTCTGAAATCAATAAAAATCTATTAAAAAAAAAACACCCTACTAAACTCAGCCCTGCCTGTATCCTTAATCCGCCACAGAGGAAAGAGTCTGGGAGATTCTTTTTTTTTTGGGGGGGGGGGGGGGTAGGGGGAGGAGATTCTTAAGGACAGGGGAAATGACAGCATGTTTCCAAGGGCTGTGGCTGGTTGTAGCCATGGGTTCTCCAGCTGCATGGGAGAACAACCTGGAGAGACTGACCGCTTAGGTCAAAATCAAAACTTAAGGCAGCTGCCACTCGCCTTTCCTGTAATATCTTCAAAAAAAAAAAGAAATGACACCAGGGGCGGTCTGCTGAGATGTGCTTGGAGGCAGAACCGGGGGAAAGGGAGTTGTAGGTCAATGTCAGAACTTCCCTTCCACTGTCAAGTGACAGGCTTCTCACCCTGGGGGTCAGCTCCAGAGTGGGCTTCTCCTGGTCACCGGGCCAAGAGATCTGGTGCCAGGAAGAGCCCTGAAGCTGTTGACCCCAGCAAATCCCATCATTCAGTCCAGCTCTGGCTCTGGTTTTACAGGTGAGGCAACTAAAGATCAGAGGAGTGTTACCGAAAGGTCACACAGCTGTTCATGTCAGGCTGACTGGGAACCCCAATCTGCTGTCCATGCATGGTGCTAAATTACACCTCGGGACAAGAATGTGGCAAGTTG